TGAACCAGCTGAATTTACATTGGGGAGGGGGTGGGGGAGGTTTTTTTGTCTATTTTTTTATAGGGTATGCAGTGCAGTCCTGAACCTTGTGGCACATTCTTAAAGGAAAACAGTACCAACTGTTCAGCAACTGCTGCATGATGTACACAAACAGTTGCCAGCATGCCAAACATATGGCTGGGGACAGCCTTCTCCTGGCGGGAGCACAGGCTCGGGTCCCAGCAGATCTTTGCCAGCTCTCCCTGGTAAATATTTATGTATAGCATAAAAAAAAGTTCAATGCTCAGCTCTGTAACTGAAAGCTTCTGCTGAGAAACGTGGAAGGACAATTATTATTCAAATTCATCCATGCCACTACTCCACACACCATTAACAAAGAAAACACTCTTACATGATGTATTCTGAAAAAAAAAAACTTGTCCTAATAAAAATCTGTCATCAGCCACTTTTCCTGGAGCAACACAATGAAGTTATTTCTTCTCTTGAGCTCCTGCATAAAGACTCAAAAGCAGCATTTAAACAGTGTCTCAATAGAATTTACTTTCATAATAAGTATCAGAGTACTAAGACTTATTTTCTTTTTCTAGTATGTATTCTTTCAAGACTATCTGTATTAATAATTCTTTAGAATTGCAATATCTTCACGGATAGTGATCTGAAGAAATTCACTGCTTTACAAAAGCAGAACTAAGACAATGCAGAAAGCTTGTGCTTTGGCTGAGACAATCTTCATCAAATATTGAAATTTATACATCATTATCCTTGTGCTCTATGTGGAGAAACTATTGTTCAGGGTGAAGCTACAAAAATGAAATTTTAATTAAAAAAATGAATTAACCACACCCCAGTCACTGCCTCTCCAGACACCAAACCTTCTCCCCCAACAAAATGCCCCCTCATGTCTCACTGCAAACACAGATATATCACATCCCCCATATTACCTCCCCCTGCAATCTCAACAAGAATCACACAACTGAAAAGCATGCTGGTTTCACCTGTTGACAGGAGAGTATTTTTTAATCTGTGCCACAATTCTTCGACTAAACTAAAAATGTCTGGGATCGTTTGTTAACAATCCTCTCTATATATATATTTTACATCACCATTATTATACATACATACATTTGTGGATACACACACATACATTTTTAAAAAGTGAATGGAATAGTCAGCAAGTCCAAGTGATCTCTCACAGTGACATTAGGTATCAACCACAGAAAGATGAGAAAAAGAAGCATGGATCTCTTCCAAGTCAAGAACTTACCAAGCAACCTACCAAGACACACTTGAAATCCATATATAGCTTCCCCAAAAAATGCTGCCAATGTTGCTAAACATTTCTACATCACATTTCTCTGCAGATCTGTTCTGTCAAGGAGGTCTAGAAGACAACCTGGAACCATGGCACAGAAGCAAGATGTGGGAGAACACCCCCAGAATCAGCAGATTTCCACTTGCATGTGACTTGTTCCAGATTTACCATCTTACTGGATAAGGGCTACACATTTGATCTTTCCTCCAGCTTGCTTTATTCTCTTATTTTCAGACAGCTTTTAGGTTTTTTAAAAATGAGTAATCACAATAGAATCACAAAACACAGAATATCCCAAGTCGGAAGGGGCACACAAGGATCATTGAGTCCAACTTCAGACTTCACACAGGACACCCTAAAAGTTGAGCCAAGTATCTAAGAGCATTGCCCAAACACTTCATGAACACCAACTGGCCTGTGGCCATGAATCCCTCCCCAGGGAGCTCATTCTTGTGCATGACTGCCCTCTCAGTGGAGAACTTATCCCTTATATCCAATCTCAATTTCCCTTGACACAGCTTTAAATCATTCTCTCATATCCTGTCACCAGGAAAAAGAGACCAGCACCTTCCTTGCCACTCCCTATCATGAGAAAGCTGTAGGCAGCAATGAGGTTACACCTCAGTCTCTTCTCTAAGCTGATCAAATCTAGCCTCTTCAGCTGCTTCTCAAGAGTCTTGCCCTCCAGTCTTTCCACCATCTTTGTTTCCCTCCTTTGGACACACTCTGATATTTTTATATCCTCCTTACACTGTGGAGCCCAAAACTGCACACAGCATTGAGGTGAGGCCTCACAATACAAGTCAGATAATTATTAGACAATACAAATCTGACAATAAACCGATGAACTCTTAAAGCCCAATATTTTAAAAATATTTTATACAACTCGGAGATACAGAGAAAGTCAGATTCTGCCTTGTTTTTTGCTGATGTAGAATGAGCTTTCTGAACTCCCAAGTTTGGACCACATGAGTGGGAGAAGTAACCCAGGCAGCTTCATGCACACAAAACATGGAAATTCCCTCTCCTTCATTCTGATGTCCCTACAGTCTCAACTACACCATTTTAAAATTTATTTCAACTGAAAAATTTTGAGGTGTTTAGCCTTATGTTATCTTGGTGAGGGCCCTTCCTATTTATGAAAGCTCTGCATCTATGCAGCACACATATCTTTGGTCCATTTTCATCAGCCAGGGTAACTTCTCGAACACAAGAAGAAAATTATTTACAGTGAGCGTGGTGAGGCACTGGCAGAGGTTGCCCAGAGATGCTGTGGCTGCCCCATGCCTGGAAGTGCTCAAGGCCAGGCTGGATGGGGCTCTGAGCAACCTGCTCTAGTGGAAGGTGTCCCTGCCCATGGCAGGGGGGTGGAACTAGATGAGGTTTGAAGTTCCCTTCCAACCCAAATCATTCTATGATTCTGTGATCACAGCACTTCATAGTTCACAATCAAGCAGAATTAGAAACTGTAGACAAACTCTGAACACAGCACACTCAAGTTATCATTCTAGAACCATATGCTCTGATACTCTGTCCAGTGCATCACTCTCAAAAATAACAAACTTCCCAGCCCAAATTATCAGCACAGGATTTTTCAGTATACTTGAAAATTCCTCAGGTTTCCCAAGCTTGGGCTGCTCCAGCCTGATAAGTCTGTGCTGGGCATTGCCATGTAGATGCACCAACCTTAGGTCCAAAAACAGGAGGGAACTGCCCAACAGATCCATACTAAGAGTATATTACAGCAATGTGATTTGATTAAATCATGATTTACCTCTCTTGTCTCACTATTATGTCTATATGCAGATTATGACACTTTTTAAAAAAATACTATACCTGAAGGACACAAAAGCTCTCCTACACTAACCATCACAGATACTGAAAACTTACAGAAGGAAACAAAAATCATAAATTGGATTTTTACAGGATTTCAGCATCCAGACCCCATTCTATCCCTCTGCACAGATTCCTTTCATTCAGAGACCAGGATTACACCAAGCACATATGCTTCTTTGGTGACAAACTCTTAGGCTGCACTGAGAGGTTAAAAAAAAAAAAAAAGGAGAAATAGAAGTATTGCTGCGACATAATTTCCCCTCATTCAATTTTTTAGAGAAGGAGGAAACAGCCCAGTAAACTTGAAGTCTGTGAAAACAATCCTTCCCAAAGAATGGAGCTTGCCCTCAACAAGTGTTCTGTCTCCTACATTTCCACAGCACATCCCAAAGGCTTGGAGATTATGCATACATCAAAGTTAAAAGCAGCTTATTTTCACAAGTACCAAAAAAAGTTGTTGTAGTCACCATCTACAAAGATCTATAAAGGTGTAGAACCACCTTGCACCTTTTGAACACAAGTGTGAACCATTTATTTACCAAGGGTAATCTCAGCAAAATATTCTGACTTTAGGCCAAACTTACTTTTTCAGAGCAACTCTGATAACTTCTAATTATTAATGGAGGTGAAAGCTGTAATTTCCAAAGAACCTTATTACACAGTACTACAGAGAAACTATACAAAAATGTTCACCAAAAGAAAAAAAAAAAAATCAATAAAAGACTATAACCAGTATCCCAGACAGATGGTATAGATGAAAAAATGGCTATCACAACCAGAGTATCTCACAAAACATTCTTTGTTTCTGCAAAATGTTCTAGGAGGTGCTCAGTTAACTCAGTCATCAGTTGTAAGAAACTGTGGCAGCCACAGCACAAAATCCATGTTGTAACAACAGGATCAAACATCCCTGTGAACACTGTAGATGACATTAAGTCCTGCTGCCATTTAGGGTGAAAACAGGAAAACTTGGATCTTACATTTAAATAGCAGAACAGCAAGTTCTTGTAAACAAATCATCTGACTAGGCCCAATGTTTAAAGCAGTAATTGTTTTCACAAACTGACCTGCCAAACTGCAACTTCTGCTCCGTCTCTCAGTGTTCATTATAGTTCATACAATTTGAGAAATGTAATGAGGAAATCACAAGAAGCAGGAGGGACCTTAGGACCATTCTGAAAGCATTAGAAGACATCAGAATGGGGCAGACTGCAGGAGAAAGGGAAAAGAAAAAGCTTCTCTCCCATCATAGGCATAGTGCCATTTTATGAAGAACAGCCTTACCACAATCTTTGTTAATATTTATACTTGAATCAATTTTTTTTCAAAATATTTCTCAGAAAAACCACAGCCACATAGTTTTAGCAGGAACGAAGGTCTGGTGCATCAGGCTCCGTCTGGAGGAAAGCAAATACCATGGAGGCAGCATATGTGGACACACTACTACTCTTTACCCTTCCTCAGGGACAGGAGGAGGATATATTGCAAATTTTTGTTGCAAGAACCAATTAGCAAGGACAGAGACTGCAGTACTAGCTGACTGATTTACTCTTTGCAACACGTGTAGGTCTGGACAACACAAAGATGACTCGTTAGTATTTGCAGAGCAAACAGTGACAGTGTAGTAGCCCATGTAATTGTACTCTGCTTATTTTTGGATTACTCTCTTGAAAAGGAGAGAATAATAAGCATTAGAGTAAGGCATTATAAACCAGCAGA